CAGTTTACATCTGCTAAAGACAAGATACAGTCATTACACACTGAGCCAGATTTAAAAAAAAAATAAAATTGCAGCATCTATTCACTGTGCCCTCTGCAGTCAAGTAACAAATCAACTCCGTTTTTGTATGCATATCCACCACAAAACGATGACAGAATTGTAATTCTATTTAAGGACAACCTCACATATGCACAAATACAGCCCTAGGAAAGCCCTAGATTTCCTTCTTATTCCCCACTCAAAGTGAGAAATGAAAATTCTACCTTACAGAAGTTTACAGAAAGGTTTTGGAGAGGGAGGAAGGTTGTTGGGGGTTTGATTTGTTTGTTTTCCATATAGAAACAATTTTTTTTTTTCATAGTTACAACCACATTCTATTGGAATGGAGTGGAAATTAGCCAAAGACAGTAGTCTCTCTGCTGCAGTATGAAAATCCTGTTTATTATTACAGCAGTTTGTATTCATTACGTTACAAGATTCTCTTTAACAGTTTTGGTGGTGTATTGCAAAAGTTATGGCATGCAGCCTTAGAGACTGATTTCTAGGACCTCAACTGCCAAGAAATCAGACTTCGGCCCCTGATGGTTTCCCATATTTCCCAAAAGTGTTCAGTATCCAGAAGCGGCCTTTGTTCTAGTGGGAACAAGTGAGCTCTTTGTCTATTTTTTTTTTTTTGGTATGCCATTCCCCACCCTCGTATATACCATGCTGTACCTGGGGACGAGAATATAGCAATTAGGCACGGCCCTCTTGGTTAAACTGTGCTTTCTAAACACACTGGAATGTAATCATTTTAAGAGCTCCTGAGTTGAGAGCCCAGGACACACCCTGCATTCCACCTTTGGGTAATGTGATTTATTTCCAAAGCCATGAACATGAGCAGAGTTCAAGGCTATGACCTTGCCTCCCGTCTGGTGCTCTAAGGCAATTTGTATTCCCGGAATGGCACAAGGGAGTTATTCCTCCATGACTCTTGAGACCAGAATCTCTGGTGGGCTCTACCGTGCCATTGCTTGTGTGTAAAAGTTAGGAGGTGTTTTTCTTGTCCTGGAAATAGTCTAGCCATGCCTTTACTGTGACTAGGGATAACTGGGTCATTAACATTCCTTGTATTTCTATATTGTGTAATGCATCACTGTGTAGATAATTGATCTATCTCGAAAACCATTTGAGTTGTCCGCATAGCGTAATGCTTTACCGTTCAGCCGTATTAGCTTGAGTCCCGGAAGCAAAATAGCCATGTTAACATGTTCTCAGCAGGGCTAATTAGTCTGGGCTCAGAGCCATGCTCGTGCAGCTATCCTGCTTCCAGTTCTGGAGGCAACTCATTCCAGACAAGATTTAATTTACTGTGTATTACATGCTTACATACTTTCTTTGTCACCATAATATCGCCTAGACACAATGATAACCATGGGTAAAGAGGGTTTTTTCTTTGTTTGTTTTGTAAGTTTTTTTTATTTCTCAATGATAATGATTAAAACCACTTCAAAAATGTCATCCCTAGAAAAAATTTGGCCCTCATTTGCCCGTTGAGCATCTTTGCAGCAGTGGGTCTTTCAGCAGCCAACTCCTCCTGGATTTCCACATTTGATATTTGAATATTATGTGCCATTTGAAAGTTTTCAAATTATGTAGAAAAGCAGATGCTCGTCAAGATGATGAGATTTCATTTTAAGGTCTGATGTGTTGGAGACAGGCCAGTTCTGTATAGTATCTGCTTCTAACTGTGATGAATTAAGAGATACAACATCAGGCT